ATGTGCTCGGAGACCATTTACAAATGGGAAGGGGAAAAAGGCCCCAAATAAACATTACCATAAACGTCCCCCCCCCCCCCACGCGCGCGTGCACACACACGACTCTGAATATTTCGCTACCCTACAATCACAAAGTTCAATCTGCTCAGTACCTAGTTTTCGGAAATTTGATGTCAAAAGTTTTGATTTTCACATGTCAAGCTTTTTCGAACGCAATTCTTTGAATACAACCTTGATAACGACTCCGCATTCAATAATCTAACGATTAAGATAGAGCAGATAGAACATTTATTCTTGGTCTTTGACCTTACGGTCTTAGAAACTAAAAACGGCCAAAAATGTCAGATAGAACTTTGCAATTCTAAGGCAGCGATCAGTCTAAGATATACCATTCCTTTGAGAGTGTCAAAAGGAAGCATACAGCCAGATAGGTTCCCCTGCAGCTGGAAAATAGGACAAAGTACAGACGGACATTGCCCAACCAAGCAGGGAATTGAATCCACAACCTTTTACTTTTAGTTGCCAGTCCAACACTTTACCACAAGATTGACACCTTGGAATAGGCAAGTGTAATGCAATAGGCCCATTCAGAAAGTCCCCAGAAACACAAACAAATGGCTTCATTTTTATTGGGAAAATCGAACAAAAAGATCTGTAGTGTAAACTTAACATTCAGTTTAATTGAACAGAGCGCTTACAAAAATATTATGATAATTTCTTTCAAGCAGAGTAGCCTATCAATACCAAAATCAAAGCAACACAGGTAAAGTCTAGCCACTCGCGCTGAAAGTGTAAACACAAGAAGACATGTAAACATAACATCCAGATATCAGACAAATTCATTAATATCAGAATCAATGCCATTATAAAATAATTATATCTTTGAAGTAGAGTCTCAATAAGAAAATCAACATATAACAAGTGTAAAGTCTGTTGTCACTCGTGCAGAAAGTATAAAGGCACCACAAAGTTTTTAAAAAAGCAAAAAACAAGTTAAAAGAAAACGTAATTTATTTCTATTTTCCTCACAAATTAAGTAACAGAGACACACGTTGTGAAACAATAACAATATACAATATGTATAAATAATATGTATTCTAGCATGCACAAAGTGAAATCCGCTGGACGTGGAAATCTTTTCATTGTACACGAATTTTGTTATGTACGAATTTCATTATGTGTGAATTTCAGGCCCAAGGTCAAGGCACTAAAAGTTGGATAACAGGGCCAAATTTGTACACGAATTAGGCTGATTTGGGTTTATGACCTAATTTTTCCCCCCACATCTGCTAGGCTTTTCGCTTCTTTCTCCCTGCTATGATCCACTCTCTACTACAACTTTCCCAAGAACTATCTTTGAAGAATGCCAGCAAGTTGTTGTTTCGTGTATAACCTTTACTGCTTACACATGAGGCAAAAATACAGGATATCTGTCCTCACACGAGAGCGGACTCCTTATACGCAACTGAAGTGTGCAGGCTTTTGAGTCATATGCAACAACCATCACTGGCCAACACTATTAGTATTGCCCTCATCTTTCAAAAGGGTGGTTTGTCTATCTTGAAAATCTGTTCACTCTGTGCGTGCTAGACTATATATGCGCGCGCGCGTGTGTGTGTGTGCTTTTGTGTGTGTGTGTGTGTGTGTGTGTTTGTGTGTGCACGTGTCTGCATGGGATTGCAAGAAAGAGAAGAGTGTTAGCAATAGATGCGAGTCTTTTAAACATTTACATGTACTGTCATTTAAGGCACTTCTCAATCAATTTTGACAGTAGATTTGAGTGCATGGTAAATGCCAAACTGACGTGAAAATTATTCACACATATCAATAAACACTATAATTTAGAGTAGACTATAGCAAACCATTATGACAACAGCCATTATGCTTTCAGAAAGCAGATTCAAATCAATGGCAACTCTATAAAGAGGCACAAAGAGAAAGTCTTTTTTAATTTCAGTAAGAGTTTTACAGCACTTACAATACAAATAGGTCGTTTAAGCGCTAAAGATAAGAGTGTATAACTAGAGGAGAACATACAAAGGAAAGGAGTGGAGATAAGGACGATAGAAGTGTGATACGAAAGAAGGAGCAAACCACAACAGAGCACCAGTCAACCACTCACACATTAGAGGAGGAACATTCCAGATGGCATATCCAGCACTTGCAATGTGGTATGTAAAGTATAGTGAATAGTACCTAATTTTGTTTACTTGTACTCTATTTTTTTACGATTAAAAAACCCTCCCAACCGAATCCTGACAACACTCATAGACGCATCCGATCTCCATTTCAAAGTCAACAGGGGAATGGCAAATCGTTTTGGTAAAGTAATTCAAGATTTAAAAAAAAATGTAAGCATTCCATTAAATCGCACGCATCCAGGCACTCAGCGACGGCAACCATAAAATTCGAGAATGGCACACATGAACAACAAAAAGAAATAACAAGCTGCAGACACAACAAGGAATTTGAATCATCTTGTATTCTTTTCAACAGTATCATTCAAACTGCAACAAAAGCACATACAGTGGAGTTTGCTTAACTGAAATCTGTGGGATCACCAGGTTTTCTTCAGTTAACCAAAATTTTTGGTTTAGAGAGGTTGCTTAAATAGAGGTAAAAAAATTGAGGATTTTTTTTCTTTCTGATTACCGCTGTTTTTGGATTTACAGGGTTCGATTAAAGTGGATGTTACTGTCTGCACTGGGATTATTGAATTAAAAAGACATTTTATAATTTTTACACGACAAAGGCTTCAACCTCGCCTTTGAAGACCAACACTGGCAGAAAAAGAAACGGAAAAGAAAGGTGGAAATAACTTATAAACTATTTCCTCCAACTAAGGAAACCATCTCATCTTCTTCTGTGTGAAGTAAAGAGCACAATGGTAACCAGGGATGCCACTGGGATTTTGTGAAAATAACAGAAAATTTACGAAGTTGCATCTGTAAACTAAAAGTAAAAGACAGTTGATATACACAATTAATATGATCAGGTTAAACAGAAAATAAAGGCTGAAAATATAAAAATAATAACTGTTCTTCTTATCGGACTTCATTGAGAGCAACAGAAATAACAGGAAATCAAACAGCAAAAAAACAACAACCCTGCTTAACACTACAAATGCTAGTACAGTAGTCGCCGCCTAAATGCATGGCGCTAAGGAGGACTCCTAAGAGTGCATTTACAGGAAGCGTGCGTTTACGTGAGCCTGTGAGGGGGGGGGGGGGTATTGAGGGGAGGGGGGTGAGAAGGGGGGGGGGGGGAGAGAGGAGACCAAATGCAACCATCTCATTTCCTTTCTTTATTAGTGATTATTGTCACCTCTTTTGTTTTTTTGGGGGGAGGGGGGAGGTTGTCACACTTTCACCGATTATGTCATGAAACATCGAAACTGTTTTATAAAGGATGCCCGGATCCCAGCTTGGGTCTACAAAGGCGTTGAGCAAGTGGAGTAAAAAAAGCAGGAAGAGTGACTCACTGTGCTGATACGCACGAACATGTCGGGAACAGATAAGAGGAAACCGTTAGTGATAGATGACGAGTGTTCAGCCATGTAGCTTTCCAAACGACCACTCCTGACAATCTGTACGGCGTGCGTTTAGGCGGAGACAATTGTATTAGATGTATCAAGACAACATGATAAAAGGACAGAACAGGTGTCATGGGATCCTGCTTATGTAACCCAGCCAACCATGGTGGAACTTTGTAATAATAGTCTAGGTGGTGAGAGGCACAATAAAGTGGGCAACAATTCATGTCTCGGTTACGCTTTGTTGAGGATGAAGAATAAACATTTTCACTATAACAGGAAAACGATAATAATAGTAATAATAATAATAATAATAATAATAATAATAATATTAATAACAATAATGCGTAACTATTACGTAACTCGGCCAACCAGCAGGGTGGAGCTTTGTAATGTTAGTCTAGGTGGTGAGAGACACAATAATTTGGGCATCAGTTCATATCTCACAAGAATAAAGAATAATCTCAAGAATTAACATCATACCCACAACAGTAAAATGGTAATGATAATAATAATAATAATAATAAAAACATATTCAATAGAAAAAAAAAAGAATATTAATTTTCATCACAAATAAGAGAAAACATGAGTAGAAATAAACAAATAGAGTCGAACCGCCTCCACCGACCATCCCTCCAAGACAATCACCAGTACAAATGACCAGTTCTCACCCCAACCCCCGTTTAAAAAAAAAAATATATATAACTTACTGATACTGTCCAAGAACCACATTTCTATGACTGTTTATTCTTCGACAATGGGTAGTCATCTTGGTTATAACAAGAACAAAAAACCAACAAAACAACATTGCAATAACAACAACAACAACAACAGTATTAGTAGTCATAATAATTATGAAAAGAAAAGAAGAAGAACAATTATGGTATTGATAGTAATAAAAAAATCGTAAAAACAATACCAATAATGCTTCATGTAATTAGTAATGTGCATAATTTGCATTGGAAGAGTGCTTTGTAAAAAAAAAGACGGGTTCATAAAATAAATACTTTTCCCCTGAGTAGTACGCACAAGAGAAAGGGGAACAAATGTATGCAAGCTGAAGCAGGATCTTCAATTTAACCTTCACCGTTGGCAGGATAAGCCCAGTAGGTGGAGTGCCATTAAAATTTTTTTCAGCACAACCAAAGTTAACAGATAACCAGAAATATGGAGATGAACTTAGGTAGCCTGAACTGTAAACCAGAATGATGTCTTAAACCATATTAACAACTAGAGAGGCCTTGCCTTGCACGGAGTCTATTGATTTGCACCTTGAGCTGCATTGTGTGGTGTTTCAATCTCCAAAAGTGCAACACTGCTATGGTACACATTTCTATGAGGTGATAATTATGGTATAGGCTTAAAGCCCCTATCAACACTGATATGAGGTCAAGAAAAATATGTCTGATTAGAATTGAATGAAAACTGAGGCTACAAAGCGAAAGTAGAGTTGTTCTTCTTTCTTTGATTTTTGGAATGGTTGAATTTTAAAAAACCCATAATTTTTAGAGGGTTATTTCCCTTTTCCAGGATTTCGGGACATGCATCCGGGCAAATCCTCAGAGAGCTAAATGGTTAAGCTAAATATAGGGTCCCCTGCCCTCGCCTCTCAAAGATGTCCTACCCACAAGAGAGAACACAAAACAAAAGTGCAAAAATTAAAATAGGTTCTTGTGTACAATTTTGAAGCATCAACAAGAATAAATCACAACAAATCATTCAACATCATTAGAATCTAGAGTTACCAAAAAAAACAATCTCAAAATTCCTTTAACTAGAAGTTGGCCGTTCAACGGAGAAATAATCAACAGTGCTGGGTTCTTTACCTCCTCACAGTGAACAGGTCATACCTTGGGTCATAAGTGGCTGGATAAAGAGATAAAACAGTCCTAACAATCCTTGCAAGCTAGTATCATCTTCAACACTTTCATAATACCCATCTTTCCTGTATCATTATTCCTCTTTCTTAAGAAAAATAACTGTAATAACTGGAAACCAAAAGCAACATCTTTGGAGATCACAATCACTTCACTTATCACTTCAGTTCATGTTGACTAAAAATATAATATATAGAATGACCAACAACAAAAATTTAAAAAAAAAAGAAAAGAAAAAAAAAGAAAAAAACTTCCGACCCACAAACAACCCCATCACAATGTAGAATCATCTGCAACAGTCTGGAATCCCTTTCTTACTTCTTTGTAGGCTTGGGCGATGTGCGCATATATTTGCATATGATTGACAGCATCACTTCATCTGCTCCCCCTCCAATTGAAAACAGTCGTGTGTCTCTGAAACATAGAAATCGTAAAGCATTGTGAACATCAAATGGAAAAGAAATGTAGATTAATGAACAATCTTCAAACTTTTCACAGAGAGAATGATTTACATTCCCAAGTAGAAGACATTGTGTGACACAGTGGTGAAATCAGGCGCTCATCAAAATAGCAAGAATTGAAGAATCCGGCATTTTTCTATCGGTTAGTCAATTTTTAATGAATTTTTTGTTGTTTTGCTCAACACCTTTTACATCCATTTAAAAACATCTTTCTGTGTGGATTTTACTGAAGAACGTTGACTATAGGCATAAAAGCGTAAATTTTCAGTTTGCAAGGAATCTCAAGCTATGAAAGTCACCAAACTCTGGCAGCCATTTTCTCGCTAATTTTACCTCTGATACCAGACGATCCCCCACCTTCTTCAATCACAAATATTTCAAATTCTATTCAAGATAGATGGGTATTTTTTTCCATCGAAAACTAGACAAACAAACAAGCTTGAAGAAGATACCAACATCTCCACATGCCCGTAAACTGACGAGCGCCTGATTCCACCACGTCCTGACACAATTCAGAGGTGGGCTACTTCAACAGTCTAGTCAGGCACACCCAAGCTGTGTGGGTTCCAACCACGCGGAAAGATCGAGAAACTCCACCATTACTGCGGTTGCACCTTTTGCTGTCTCTCATCTTCTAGACAGCTATGCATAATTTTGAAATTCATACAGACTAGAGCTCTTCTTACTGAAGGACATTGAATAATATAGAAATTTTGACAAGCACCCAGTTCTACAATTTCCTTTCTTTGACATTTACGACAAATCACAGCATTTTTTAAACTGGTACACGTGGGACCTCTGATTGTTTCCTCCTTATCCTTGAAGTATTCCATAGGAGAAGAACTGAAACAGATCCTTGGGAATGAGAGAACATTGTAGAGAGGTTATCTAAAAACTTGACAAATATGTAGATCTAACATTTACTCTGTTAACACCAGATATGGTCAAATGCTATTTCTCTGTACAGTCAAAGCAATAACAAGAGTCAGCAGATAAAGCAAAATAAACTGTTACCGCCATGCTTCAGTAGCTGAAAAAATCCAAGGGGGGAATAACAACAGAATGTGTAATTGAGGATTATTATAAGATGTATTCTAAAAATGTTTGAGCATTTGTCCTTTGTTTCCCTCAACTGCTTCAACGATGGCCATTGTACCACTTACAAACATTTCACACATCTCGAAACATGCTTTTTTGGACCTGACCCGTTCATTTCACATGAAAAACCTTAGAAACGCTCTTGGATTATCATGAATGTGCATGGAAAGGAGATTACTAACATAGAGGAGGTACTTCAAAGGAAATATCAGCCCAACCCTAGGCAAAGGGGCCCAAAGCTCTATGGGGACCTGGAGAACCTGTGGTGAGCAGCAGTTTTCGCACTAGAGACTGAGATGTGTATTTACAGATGAACGAAAAAAAGACCAGTACAGGCACCGTACTGGAAAAACTTGACAAAAATGTTGCTGCTCAAACAATGCAAGCTCCGACAACAAGGTCAAGGACACCATCCCCAGCTTAGAGGAGGGGAGAATACCAAGGGACCTCCTCTAATGATAACTGAAGAATGAAAACAAGGAAAAGTGGTCGACCTCTACTAAGACACAAAGATTTTTGCAAGAAGGACATGACCTCACAACAGAGATAAACTTTCCTTGGGATCGAACAGACAGCAAGAGACTGCAGCCAACGGAAGAGATTTATGACAAGTCCAGACTCAAGAGGAGAAAGACTTAACTGCAAAAGACAGCCAAATACTTGTCTGTTTTTCCTCCTCAAAACTGACTTTGGAGTTGTTTTTTTTCTCTCTTTGCAATCCAGCCCCAAAAACCATACAATGTTTAAAAAATTATTTCGAATCTATGATTAGCAGCTAAAAGTTTTTCCATTAGATTCCTGCACATATGAATCACCTGATAAGAGTTACAAAATCGATGTGCGCTTTGTGTAGAGTGAAGACAACTTTGATTAGAACAAATCGCCACATCACCTTCATTTATTTACAGGGCTGTTGTTATTCAAGTGTCACTTCTTAGCAGACCAAATGTATAAATTTCATATAAACAGCTGAACTTCATGGCCACCTGTATAAGACAATCACTTCTCATTTCCATCATTGCGCTCATAAGCATTATAGTACCGGTTATACTGTAGAAACAAGGTTTCTTGTGAGACTGCTGAGAATATCGAGGAAGGAAAAGAAATCAAATGAGGTTGTGCTTAATGAAGCCCACGTGGGACGCTCACTGTTATAAACAATCAGGAAACGACACATGCAGTTTTTGGGGCACCTGAATAGACATAAGGGTCTTGAACATCTAGCTCTCACTGGCAAAATTGAAGGCAAACGAGGCAGGGGTAGGCCCAGAGCAACCAACTTAGGGAACCTAAACAAATGGGTAACGGGAAAGATCAGCGAAACGTAGCTTTTGAGCATCCGAGCAAAGGAATGAATGAAGAACCATGATCGCCGATGTCTGTCGCAGATCTGGCACTGGATGATGATGAGTGATACTGTGCAAGACGTCCACCTGTCTAAGATGGCCACTTTTCTCCTCGACAATGCTAGGCCATCCTAGACAATTTCAACTGTTTATATATAATTATGAAGGCAGGTCACTCTGTCCCCACAGAGAGACACAGGTGTGAGAGGGACACAAAACATTTTGGGAAAGAATTAAAGTATAATTTGGATCCCACGGGCACTTGAACCTTGAACGACTTCTTAGTAGATTAAGTTCCTCATGTAAGGTGGCGGCTAACCTGTGTAGAGTAGAGTCCCTTCCCCTAGCTCTAGAAGTGGCAAACAACATGTTTTGAAAAATGCTGCTAAGTGTAACACATCGGAAAAGTCAACACACAAAAAGAGAAGTTTGGCAGTGTGAGTTTCTTACTTCCAAAGGGCAGTTTACTTCTTCACTGGCTTCGGCATTGTTCGCATAAATTTGCATATAATTGACAGCATGACTTCATCGGCTCCACCTCCGATTGACAATAACCTCATGTCTCTGAAAATGGACATAAACACCACTAATTATAGCAAATGGAGCAGACAGACATAGAAACAAATGAACCCTCTAATGGTGATTTTCTTTTTGTGCAAATGTTTTACCGGAACAGTTTTGATAATATTAGAGGTGCGCTGTTTCCTCCTTGTCACAATTATTTAGATAACGATAAACAATATGAGAGATGGGCTGCCCTGATCAAGCCAGGCACAGCTGTCCTAAGTTAAGTGGTACACACCTCTGCAGACAGGTGAAGACAATCGACAATATACCATCCCTACCAGCAAGAGTCTAATGCCCCATAACCAGTGGATACAATTATCAAGTGGTGCTTCTTATACTAATATACAGTCGTTTCCACCTAACAGCAACACAACAACACACAGGTCACACCAAGAGGCTTCATAAAATGAATAAAAGCCATATGAAGTGGACGAGGAATTGAACGGCTCGCCTCTCACACCAAAGTATCTTGCTCAGTTCTCCGTTTGCGTTTGCAAGGTTAGTGAATGACTTAATCGTACAGCTATGAGGTTATGCCCCACAGAACATGCCTTCAATCCTTCTGCACACCAAACTCAGGCCATGCTACAGGGTAGGCAAGAGGCAAGAGGAGGTGCAGTTGTCATTAGATGCACTGGTACTGAGCCAAAAGATTGTGAAATTGCATAGGTTTAACAGCCCTGGCAACACTGTGTAAGGATAATTAAGAGGTGGACTGGTATTGACAACGTGTGTGTGTGTGTGTGTGTGTTGTGTGTGTGTGTATGTGTATGTGTGTGCGTGTGCGTGTGCGTGTGTGTGTGTGTGTGTGTGTGTGTGTGTGTGTGTGTGTGTAGTCTTACAAGGTAAAGAGGTGTCTCTGATATTTTCATATCCCTGATCCCATGGTACTTGGGGAGAAACTTACAGGTCCCTTGAGTACATGGTCCTGGTTAATCACAGCACGGAAGCTGAGACCCTATGGAAAGTTACAGATAGCTTCCAAGGACAAATGTAAAATTAATGTGTAACCAAAATTAAAGAAATGGCAACAAAAGAGCTTTTGGAAATGATAAGACTGTGCAAAAGGCTAAGGACTTAACATTTTGCTAGCGGTAGGAAGAGTAGTAGTAGTAGTATAAGGTTTTACGGCGCTCGCAACTGCTAAGGTCATATGAGCGCGCGAAACACAAGTTGTTCACCTCTGCGAAAGTTCACTTCACGACTGGTAACTAGTTTACTTTAAAATGCTAAAAAGTTAAAATATTCAAATTCGGTGTAAATACATTTGTGATCTAAAACAACTTTTAAGTAACAATAAAAATTTTAAATAATATCAGATTCACTTTACAACTCGCCATAAAGGCCAATGGCCTTTATAAAATTTAAAATTCTGCTGGGAACAACGACGGAGAAAATATCCTGCAATTTCTTGCATTTATAATATTTCCTTCGGATCTCTCCAAAGTCTAGACATTCTGTTAAAATGTGTCTAATGGTAAAATCTGTGTCGCATCCGACACAGAACGGCTTCTCCTCTCCCTGCAGGAGGTATTTGTGAGTCAGGGCCGTGTGTCCGATGCGCAATCGAGTAAAAATGACTTCGTCTCTTCTGGAGAGATCCGAAGGATTTCGCTGTTCTAGTCTGGGTTTAATTTCGTATAATTTATTATTTTTCTGGTTTTCCCAGTGGCTCTCCCACAGACTGGAGGTGTACTTTTTGACTTTATTTCTAAAGTCAGTCTGTGGGAGAGTGTTTGTCGTTGATCCCAGCAGAAGGGATGAGGCTTTCTTCGCCAGGTCGTCTACCTGCTCGTTTCCTCGGATGCCCACATGGCTTGGGATCCATGCGAACATTATGTTTTTTCCTGTTTCGGATAGTGTATGGATTTTCTGTTGTAGCCTAACTATTTTTGGGTGTAAGAGTGTGTAGTTTGTGAGTGAGGTGATGCAAGACAGAGAGTCAGAAAGGATAAGGAAAGATTTGTTAGGAGAATTTTCTACAGAGTCCAGTGCCATGTCAATGGCAGTGGCCTCCGCAGTGAAAATGGAGGCTTCAGGATGGAGTCTCCTCTGGTGTGTATTGTTGGGAGATAGGGCTGCGGCGCCCACTTCATTGTCTTTTTTGGAGCCATCCGTGAAGATGAGCTCCGCACCGGGGTATTTATCTATTAGTTTTTTGTATTCTGCTTGAAAAGTTTTGGTGTTTGTGCTTTCTTTGTTGTGTGTGGTCAGCTGTAAATCTACTTTTGCCTTGGTGAGGTGCCACGGAGGGAGGTCGGGGAAAAGAATTTGTTGGATGTCTTGTTTGGAAAAGTGTAAGTTTTTGAGGTCCTCGAGGATTCTGAGGCCGAAAGGTTTGATGAGTTTTTCGTTGTTTTGGAATCTGTTTCTGGTTTCTGGATTTGTTTGAAAAATGCTGTTGTGCGCTGGATTTTCCGGTGTTGAGCTCTGTTTAACTGCGTATTGTAGTGAGAGTTGTGTGCGTCTGAGTGAGAGTGGTGGAATGTTGGCCTCGGCCTGTAGGCTCTCCACCGGAGAAGTGCGGAAAGCCCCCAGAGCGAGGCGGAGTCCTTGGTTCTGTATTGGATCTAGTATTTTTAAGACGTGTGGTTTTGCCGATCCGTAGACTTGACAGCCGTAGTCAAGCCTGGACCGGACAAGGGAGATGTACAAGTGGAGAAGGTGTTTTGAGTCCCCGCCCCACTCCGGATGTGATAGAATTTTCAAAGCGTTTAACGCTTTCTGGCACCTCACACGAAGGTCTTTGATGTGTGGTGTGAATGTAAGTTAGCGGTAGGAAGAGAGGCCACGTAAAAATCAACTGCATTGTGGGTCGAAGAAATCAAAGTCATTTATCCCTGAGGCTGGGAGAACTGAACAGAAAAATATACCCAAAAAATGCATGATGAAGAGGAAGAAACAGAGGAGAACAGAACTGTTATATGTCAGATCTGAAGGCATTACTAATCTATCTTTGTTCATCAATGTCATGATCATAGAGACATATTCCTACAAAAAAATGTGCTTTTGAAAACTGAAAAAAAAAAATTTTAAAATTAGGTACTGCATATTATCTTTCAAGTAAACCGAAAAAAAAATGAACAGAAAGTACTCAGAGAATGGGTACAATAACGACCAAAAACCGCATGGACATTAGCAAGATGAGAGTGAAATAGAAGAAACAGACAACTGTGGAACACCTCCCAACCACACGTCAATCTAAAAAATGACTGCAAAAAATTCTCAACCTAGAGCAAAACAGTCCCCTTTGTATAGAGAAATAACTTAACAGTGCGATGTTTTAAGCACTAAAAGACCCCCCCAAAAAATCCAAAAAAAAAAAAAAATCAAGTGCAAATCAACATAGACTTAAGAGCATAAAGATGGAAGCAAACATAATATTTCCCCATAAACAACATATATACCTTTTTTAAAAAAAAAGAAGAAAAAATATACAATAAAGTTTTTGAAACAAAAAACAACAACCTAGCAACATATCAAGTGCATGAACAACACAATTAGCTGTCACGTGCAACATAACACCATGGACTCCTGAGCGGAAAAAAAAAAGAAACAAAATGACCATTTTTGCTTCATAAAAGAGGACAAATATTTTAAACGTAACACTTGGAGCCATAACTTCTGAAGCATTAAAATAATGGCATCCCATTCCAATCCCATCTTCCAAGCGGTAAAGAAAGACAAAATAACTCTCCATGAGCAAACATAATATTACCCTTTCTTGATCCAAAGTGATGCCATTCCATTTCATTGGCATATTATATATAATAGCACAAAAATGCATAAAAACTGTTATCAGATAGTTGAGCAATACTACAGCCACTTAAAATACACATTTACCGCGTTCACATTATATTTTAGTCCTGTGTTTGATTAAGTATTTGATTGAGAGGCGAAATTAATATATTAAACTCTTTTTTTATCACTTGCTGCATGTTTCCACAACTTCAGAACCTACAGACCAACTTGGCTAAAAAGACTACTAGAGTTCACAAAGACTGATAAGGTTTACAAAAAATATTTTAAAAATCAAAGTGATTTTGAATTCAAAGGTATGATTAAGTTTGTTTGAGAATGTTTTACAGCACTTTCAATACAACAAATTTACATACAAAAGAATTTCTGAATAGATAGTAAAAAAAAAAAAAACAACAACGAAAAAACCCCCATGAACTCTTGATTTATAATCTATAACCCAAAGAAATAGTTAGAGCAGTAGCCTCATCGAAAGTGTCAAGGCTCAATCTGCAAAGAACAAAAAACACAGTTCTGTTCTAATACTGTACTGTGAACAACGTGGGTCATTGTTACCAAAGAGGTGATATTTAGTACTAGAGTTCATGGTGGTGATGCCCCCTATGTAAATGAACCGGGGTTGCATGTGCCTACTCTGGGATGTTGAACCTCAAAGCCAAGACAAGTTCAACAGACGGGTGAGTACTTTTTGAGACTCACCTGGAGGAGTCTGAGTGGTCTTAGGAGGAAATCTACAAGCTTGCACTGAAATACGGGGGCAGTGTGGTGTTTAATTTACTAGAGCTCATACCAAGCAGGGTGGGGGGGGGCTCAGATTGTTCATGTAAATTGGGGCACGCCAGCCATGCCGATGAGAGTGAGAAGGCCCCCATGTCTGACATGTGTGACGTCACTGCTGCAAGCTCTAGTATTATATATAACCTCTTTGGTTGTAACAAACTCATTCACAATAACCAATTTTCCTAAAGACCCTGCCCACGGAAGTTTATTCTTAATAAACAGTAAAATTCAACGCTTTGCTGGATATAATTAGACTCCCAAGGTCGGAGAATCTGTTCTTCTGATATCAAGTTCAGACTATGTTCTGAGAGGATAAATAAACTGAGGATGAGAAAAATCTGAAACCCAATTTGACTCAAACCAGGAGTCTCCAAATGGGAGTCAAGTTTATAATTCAGTTGTGTCAGAGAAGTTGGCTTGATACCCTTTGACCTTCTCTACGAATCTAAACAAAGGGAAAGTCTTCCACGGCTATGGTGGGTTCGCCTTTCTTCTCCTCAGGTCTGAGCGACGGAGATGGGTGTGTGGCTCCGAGAAACGCTGGGTCAAATAAACTTTGCATATTTAACAACAGAAAGTTCTTTAGTCAGCTTGTGCTCCTTCAATTAGGTGTACTTGAAGCATTCTTCTATACAAAAAAAGGTATGTAATGCCACCTCAAACAGCATGGGGGAAGGGAAAGGGGAGGACCCGTTTTGAAATGAAAACTTTCAAAATTTTGAAAGACAAGTCTTTTTGGTACTTTTCTACAGTATCAATAGAGGAGGAGGAGGAGGAGGAGGAGGAGGAGAAGAAGAAGAAATGGTATTTATATTGCGTAAATTCCTGTTTAAGAGCAAGCTCTATGTGCTTTACAAATCTATAAATTGCCCCAGCGGACCAGATAGCTTTCTGAAACAGTCTCAACTTTCTGAAAAGTTTAAAGTTCAAGCTACCATTTTACAGGCACTAAAACACTGACAAGATCTTTCGCTGACTATGGTCGGGTACCCATTCACACATGGGTGAAGAGAGGGAAATTCCTGTAAAGAGACCTTTCCAAGAACAAATGTAAGGTCCAGCTGAACCTTCAACTCCTAAAGCTGCAAGTTCAAGATTACAAGTCCAGTAGCCTAACCACTATGCTACTTTAGAATTACAAAATTCTATCTGCTTAGTACCTAGTTTTGAGAAATTCGATGTAAAAATTTTTGAGTACCACAACATGTCAAACTTTATCGAATGCAATTCTTTGAATGTTTTAATAATGACTCTGAATAAACACACGATTTTTCTAGAGCAGATAGAACATTTGGTTTCTGACCTCACGGTGGAAGTAACTCAAAACACACAGAAATGTCCGATAGAACTTTGTAATTCTAAGGTAGCAACTAGACTACCCATGCCCAGGAAGAAAAAGATGAAGAAGAGGTAGGAGAAGAAGAAAACAACAGATACAGTCGAACCTGCTTATAAGACAATCACCTGTACAAATGACCATTTCTCATTATTTCCTCCCTTGCATATTTTGACATTATAATGACACTGTGTAAGACGACCACCTTTCTCCTAGAGAATACGTGATCACATAGGACAACAGCACCAGTAACAACAGTAAGGAAACTACTGACAACATTGACCCACCTGTACAGGCGACTGATGAGCACCTCATCCGTGTAACCCATCCCTCCCCAGAACTGAAGGCACTTGTCAGAAGCTTCTCGGAGCAGCCGGCCGGCCTTCAACTTGCACATGGACGCCATTTTCGTCACGTCGTTGCCCTTCACGTACAACGCTGGAGAAATATTAATCGTATCTGGTCAGAAGGGAACGCTCCTAGTAACTGTTAGCTCACTTCCTTCAGAGTCAAAAATGTGTTGTGTGATTAGAAGTTATTGAGAAACAAGACACTGTCACATTTTATGAGAAGCATCACAGTCATCAAAGAAAAAACAATCAGTTGTATCTTAGCTAGTTTAGTCATTTAAAAGTTTAATTTGGGTAAAGTGAGCACATACAGACAACAAGCAAGAGTTAAAAAAGAGGAAACATGAAAAAGCAGAATCTATAAGTGACTTCTTTCAAACACCCAAAAGTGATCTTATCAAGTGCTAATCCACAAACTGAAAAAAAAGAGAAAAATATTACTCCAAAAGTAATTCAATTACGATAATTGATAAACAGGAAAACAAAAGTGCAATGTTGTTGTCATTGTTATTGACCAAGCAATAGAAGCTTTTCCCCGTCCTCTGGGCCCATGAAACCCTTTCCTTTTAACTGTCTTGTTGTCCCATAGAAAGTGTTTTTGGTGCTGCACTGCTACACGACAGACACTGGTAAAGTGTTACTGATTTGAGGTAACATTACTAATGATCATCTAGGTGTAAAAGTATGCTGAGATAAAAAAAACAGTAACCTCTTCCTCCTTCTTCAATGCCCTCTGAACAAAGGTCATGTCCCTAAACTATCATCTACACAGAATCGAATCAACTCAGAAAAGCCACCCATGTGCTCGCTTTGTGACCAAGTCAAAAAAAATATCTCTGCTCTTCGAGTGTCCCCAACAACAAGATCTCTGACGACAACTTCTTCCTCCCATCCCTTCTCCCGACAATATCCTACACTGCCTCAAGGACAAATCTCGAGACCTCCACCTTTATCAGCATGGCATTGGGCTAAAGGGCACATACTCGAAGGCAACTGGATTAATAACAACTTCCTTCTTTTATGCTTTTTCACATCAAATAACGGAGTACACCAGCATTCATACTCAATAATAGAGTACACCTGTATTCATACTCGGTAATGGGGAACACTTCCATTCATACTCAGTCAGAACATTTTGAAATAATAGAAGCGGAGAACACAAAAGCAAACACTCACCCACAGTCCTGTACACAGCTGACCTCAACATCTCCAACTCGGTGGCTAGTTCACCAAGGGTGAAATGAACAACTTGATTGTCCAGCACTGACTGCCCAAAGGCCTTCCTCTCCCGAGTGTACTTGATAGTCTCTTCAATCATGCGTTCGATCGGCGCAAGAGCTAGAGAGGAAAAGAAATTACAGGAAAAGTTATTGTCATGAAATTTTTTCTAGTTGCCATGAATCCATCAGTTGCTAAGCTCTTGCCTCTTCAACTGGATGAAATGCAAACTTTTCCACTACAGCATCTATAGAAATCTTAAATAGCCTCATAACATTTAAAGAAAGGCAAACTTTTCCACTTTAGTATCTACTGAAATCTATAGTATTTCATAATATCTTTTAAAATGATAATCCCCCCCACCCCCCCCAACAAAACATGAACGATTTCAACTCAGACAATAACTGACGTCACAATTAATTTACACACGGATTCAGAATAAACTTTAAATAATCATTTCGGGGCAGACTGTATTGTATAAGTATAGGGTTTTACGGCGTTCGCAACTGCTAAGGTCATATGAGTGCGCAAGGCAGACTGTAGTAAAACGTATATAACTCTGGTAATTATTTAAGTGATTACTGGTTTTTAAAACTGACAATAGCCACTTTAGCAATATGCCAAGTGGAATACATTATTTGCTCCTAACAATAAGCCCAGGATAGTTTCCCTAGGGGGTAGAACACAATATAAAAATGCTATTTATATAATCATTATTTCGATCAGTTTGATCTACTTCAGAAATTTAACATTTATTTTTTAAAACACAACATTATAATAATAATAATAATAATGACTTTAAAAAATTAATTGCATTTATATAGCGTATATCCACAGCATGCTCCTAGCACTTAACATTATCCTTCTTACCTCCAACTGCAGCAAAAATCCTCTCCTCTTGGAACTGAATCATCTGATAAGTAAAGCCTTCTCCTTCCTCTCCAATGATGTGAGACCGGGGCACACGTACATCCTCAAAGAAAATCTGGGCAGTATCAGAGCTGTGCATTCCAATCTTCTGGATTTTTTTCGCCACAGTAACACCTGTAAAAAAGTGTTCATGGTCAACTATAACTGCTTTGCTGAGAAAGTGTTGTCTATGCTGTGATATACAAGAACTGAAATTAGACTCAGAAAAGCACACAAGCTTAAAAGATTTAAAATGACATTCTTGCACACACACACACACACACACACACACACACACACACACACACACACACACACTCACCCCCACACACACACACACACAAACATCGGCTTCTCCAATCACAAATTTCCTCATGGCAAACAACAACAGCATTGAGCCCATGTCAAAGTGTAAACAATTTCAGATATGAATGAACAGTGGCATAATCCCATGCTCAGAGACAATATCACCTTTACAAAGAATCTGAATTTGCAGATGTTACAGATAACCGATTTTGAGACAATTGCGTAACCTCTTACCAACTGGTCTTACAACATTAACTTTTCACTCAATTTAATACAGGCATTTGCCTTTTCTTGAAGAGTTTAACAAAATCCACATCATTCTTTCCCACTTTAATATCCTTTCACACAGAGTTTCATGTCTGAATTGTTAAGGATCTGTTACAGAGTCTGACCAAACTGTTTAATGAATGTGGGTGTTTTTTAACACTTTGCCGTGACTTGGTGCGATAATGCAAAGGTGAACATTTTTAGTGTTCATGGTTATAACTTATGTCTTAAGATTCTTTCTTGATGGTTATTCCTTACAATACAATTTCACTTTTTCTCTTTTGGCTATGGCATTTTTCGGTGTACTAAGAACTGAATTTGGCTCTTCCTAAAAGTTTATATTTGCTATTGTCCTATGTAGGCTTCATTCAGCACTGCCTCATTTGATTTCTTTTCTGACCATGAAACTCTCAACAGTCTCCCAAAAAAAATTACTTTTCTGTTGCTTTGACTTTACTTTTACTAACTTAAGCAATTGTCCACCTTTCATAGTCAAACATAGAAGGGTTGATCATGGTCTTTTAAAACAAAACTCTTATTATTGTTGTCATTGAAATGTTACTATTTTTCAGGACGGGACATATATTTTATTGAAACTTCTGAGGTACATTGGCCATCAAATGTAATAATATATCCCAGATACTTAAACTTTTGAACTTGTTCGATCTTCTCCCCTTTCACAGCTGTGCCCTGGCGAAGCTCTTAATTACCTGTGAAACTGACTAGGGCAGCTATGCTGTTGTAGTTCGCAATTTTTCCATAGTACAATAGAGTCATTGCGACTTATTCATACAAAGAAAATAACGTGAAATTATCAGCAACAGATGGAGGCATTTTTGGACTGTGCGACAATTAACTTTGTACATGTATTGATATATCTATAGCTTGGAATCTTTCAAAACACTGAAGCAGCTGAGGACGTCTTTGGGGAAATTTTTTACATGAAAAAAAATGTATTAAAGTATTACCACCAGATCTCTCAAGATAATCACCAGTTTCTAAGTGGCATACAAAATTTTTAGAAGTAGTTACTTTTCGTTAGATTCATTCAGAAACAGAGAACTTGTAGAAAATTTACCGTTATACAGTAAACAAAACAGATTTTCTTGTCTCTCCACAGATAAAAAGAAAAGACGTGTAATATTGTTCAGGTTTAACATCCCTTGAAACGAAATAATATTAAAGAGGTGGGACCTCATGAGTTCAACGTCCATCTCCGATAGGACCAAGTCGAAACGGAAAATTTGCGTAAAGTGCCTTTGTCAAGTACATAATAAAGCTGAGATAAGCTACAGCTGCTTTCATCACGGCAACGTCACTTGTCGCCTGATTCTGTGACTTTTAGTTAGTGAGACCCAGCAGCCTGCCGGAGCTCCCCTGCTCGGGATCACAGGGTTAATGAGCCCTGAAGCGACTTTGATGGTGTCGGTTAAGAAGTTTGCATTTTTGTCTACGTTTGAAACTATACAATTTCTTCTCTATCCCACACAGCATACCATTACAATGATGTACTAAAAGCTCAATGTCTTCAGATTTATTCTGCATTAGAATGATTAATTTCTGTGCCTTAGCATTTGTTCAAGACAAGTGTTTGTAGAAAGATACTCTGAGTTTGTTCATGAATTATGCTGTGTCTGTGGCAGCCTGCATACAATCAAGAAAGGCATGCGATCTTCAAAAAAAACACAAAACTATGTAAATAAATAGGCAGAGATAAACTTTTTGTACGGAATAAAAACAATGGCAGCGAATATAATTCATTCTTAGTTTTCTGTGTGTCTGAAATATACGTGGACACTAATGAATGTAAAGGAATCAGAACATTGTCAATTATTGCAAATGGTCATAGAAACCAAAACAAGCTGGAAAAGTCTGGTACTGATTCGGTGTCACTGAAAAGCTAGAAATTATTCTGAAAACCCAGTTATGAGAAGTCATCCCTGTTATTCAGTAAACTTACAAAACCTCTCCGTCTTAGAAAAGATGAAACAACCCTCCAAATGTGTAAGTTTCTATTCTATTTTATTGGGGGGGTGGGGGGGATTCTTGCACATACACATCAGAGAAGCTTTGGTCATTACGGGGGTTGGGCTCTAAAATAGTCAAAGAAAGCTCTAGATCCTAGGCCTGGGTCTCTGTATCGAAAAAGTTGTGATGCTTGAGCATGATTCCAAGATCTAATAGAATATTATGGATGTCGGGCACCTGCTTCCTTTCCTCCCTCATAGACAAAAACAAATTTCTTTCAGCACGTTTGGATATAGCAAGCGTTAAGTGAACTATCTATAGACATGGGAACATACCAGGGGTCTTCATGGGCAGGCAGATCAATGATTTGTTCCTGTGAGGAGCTCCCTCCGATGTGATTGCCAGGCAGCACATCCAGTCGGCCTGCGTGCCATTGGTAGTCCACATCTTGCCCCCATTGATGATCAAATCGTCGCCCTTGCGAGAAGCCCTTGTCTGGATACCTGGAAAAACCCCCCCAAAAACTTGTCATTTAGTCAATGAAGATCTTAACCAGCCCGACCACCCTATTAACAAAGAGAAGGAGATGAAAGTAATATGAACATGTTACTTTCATATAATTCTAGAATTGTCTTCAAAAGCACTCCATATAAATAAACACAGTTGTGACCCTGCTCTAATGGGCATCTGTCCCAGACAATAACCTATACAAACTACAACTTCACACTTACCTCCTAGTGATTCTTAAATACTATACTGAAATTGTCCAAGATTTCCATCTGTTTTACACACACACCTTTCTCCTCAATAACGAGTGACATTTTTTTGCTGCATCATGTCTCCATTCTCTACGTCCTTCCTCACTATACTCACTGAGCCCAGCACTATGCAAATGAATCTTACTTTTTTCAAAATGTAGGAGTTTTGACGGCAGAGCTCCAGAGGAAGATCCAAGCAGCCGATATGAGATGCTTTAGTGACTCTTTGGCATCTCATACAATGACCATGTCACAAATGAAGTAGTGCACAGTGGAGTGAATCAACAGAACCAATATTTAGACTTGCTGTCTACTGTGAAGCGAAGAAAACTGAATTGGTAAGGCCACATAACAAGATCGTGTGGTCTTTCCAAGACCATTTTTCAGGGAACTGTGCAGGGGAGGAGAAAGAAAGGACGGCAAATGAAGAGGTGGATCGACAACATTGCGGAGTGGACAGGGAAATCCTTTGCCCAAACTCAGGCGCTTGCAAAAAAAGTAAAAAGTGGAGGCACCTGACAAAGCGCTCTATCATACAGCACCCCTATAATCCTCGTGAATTATGGGATCAGTAAACAATACAGAGTTTTTACGCCCCCATTGACACAGTTTAGATCATTTAGAAGGTGTCCCATCCTGCCTGTCAGGGATATAACCTCCCTGCAGGAAGACCGGAATACTCGAGTCTCCTGGGCGTGACATCGAAGCACCTAACCATTACATCACAGATGTTGGTGCAACCTCAGTAAGTCTACATGGGCGTTCAATTCAAACAAAAATTTTTTAAGCGAGCCAAAGACAAAGAGGAAAAAGTCCCCCCAAAACACAAAATATCCTTAACTTACTCGCCACATCGGAGCCTGATCCAACCTCACTGACACCGAGACATGCCACAGCATCTCCAGAGATTGACGGTGCAAGGAACTCTCTTTTCAGATAGTCAGAGCCAAACCTGTGAAGAAAAGAAATTCACAGTGTCTCAATAGAATTCAAAGTCTTTAGGTATGCTTTCAGGACTTTACAACTTGAGATATACTTAAATCTCATCTTGGGCAGGCAAAACCCACTTTCAAAGATACAAAGGACTTCACTGACATTTTCTCTCTCCCTCCCTCCCTCCAACAATAGTACCCCCTTTGAAAAAATGGTAGAATATATACAAAAGTTACTTCATCATTTTCTGGTTGCCTCTAAATGGTAAATATGAATAAAATTCTAACTAAACTAAGCCATATATTTAGACAGCCTATTTTTTTTCTTTTAAGAGCATCTTGAAATTTTCTACTTCCGTAAAAAATAAAACCAATCTTAAATTTCCCTGAAAATTGGCTCTAGTCCAAATAGAAAGAGAAGACACTATAACTGCATCTCTGCCAGCATCCTACTCAAAGCGACAGTTTATCAGTCACACTAATTATCTGATTCACAACGCTTAAAACAGCAAAAGAACTATGTTTTTCTCACTTTGCCAAGGCAGGGGTGGCCATGTCAGTCTGTACACCAATCGCCATGGGAACGCCGCCACAGTTGATGTAGCCAAGTTCCTCGCCCACAGCACAGGCATAAGAATAGTCAAGGTCGAGACCTCCATACTCTACCAACAACAAAAAAATATCTAGCTGCATCCTTGTATACATTAAGATAGTTTACATACTGATACTCATGCTGTTGTCAAGTTCAGTCAGTCCTGGATGTAGTGAATAAAAAGACATTACAATAAAAAAACAACCAATGAGCAGATTATTATTCTATGAGAGGTTCCTCGTTGAAAGCCCTTCAAGGCCTTTATATGAAACTATTAACCCAATTCCCACATGGAGAACCTGTATGTGGTGCCCCTTATACCCACTGGCATGTAGGGCAGCAAATTTTTATCCTAATAATGTCATATTTTATGAAGAAGAACCCCATAAAAAGTTGTCAAACCACTATTTTGTTGAAACAGAACCTCTCTTGTCATAGCTAATTTTCTTTGTCAGCACTGCAGTGAGAAAATACAAGCTCAGTTACTAAATTCAAGTCAGTGAAGGAATAAAGGACTTATCTTTATTTGAAGATTCAAAACAGTATTGTGTCACGTTTTTATTTCTAAAAATTCACCAACCTATGTCCTTCACTGGTCAATAATCATCAAGAATTTACCAACGTTACAGTCACCATTCTACTCATATATATATATACACAAAACTGCCCCCTCGGCGTAATTTGACCTTTTCAGCGAGGATTTCTTAGTTGCAAGCTTGAGCAAGCTTCCAAAAAGTGTTTGTCCAAACAATAAGTGGACCCCATAAGGCCCAACTCCCTCATTATCTAAGTCTAAGCTCATAAAACAATCACATGGCACAGATGCAGGACAAGAGTTAAAAGTTCCCTGAAAATCTGTGTATATCAACAACCACGTAAAGTATACATTATTAAGTGCCATGAACATGAATCAGATTCAGAAAAAATCTTTGCTGAATTTGTTATAGGTGTGTCAATTCGGTATTATATACGACATTGGTCAAGTTTTGCCGGAAATAACAACAGCGACTATTTGCGATCTTAGCAAGGAGCTTCAGGGCATTCAAAATGAAAAAGAAAGCAGAAGCTGGATAACAACCTTTTGGTTTTGTGACACCAAGGAACCCATTGTCTCCGAGTAACTTGAACACTTTGTGGGCAGGGAAATTTTTGGCTTGTTCCCACTCCTCAACATGTGGGTTGATGTCCCGCTCAATGATCTGAAAAATATTTAATATTTCAATTCTATTTCGTACTGTTAGAGACAAAAGTTAATCTAAAAATAAAAAAAGCAGAATCCTTCAGATTAGAATTTTTGGGAGGCCTCATAATGAGTTCCTAATCATCAGAACCTTACAATCAGCATACACATTTAAACTGATAGTGAATCAATTCGCACTGAAGTATCAGTGCTTTCATCTGAGACTGATCCTTACTCTGCAACTTTTCTGGAAAATCACTTTCATTCTAAGTGAGCCATTTTAATGAAACTACCACTACATTATAATGTCCTGTTAAATTTGTGTACCAAGCACCCTTAACTTCATATTAACTCATTGATGTTGGCTTACGAGAATATAGTCGTATCCACGAAGCGACCTGACTACAAGAAAATCCTAATCCTTCTTTGTCTCTAAAACTTTCTCCAGTTTACTATTTCAAAGTTAAAAAAAAACTACTTTACAGTTACCGTTCTTGCATTTCCATATATATATATATATATGTTTATTGTCCGCTAATTTTGTAGCTGCTTGGAGGGAAAGCTATTGCAGTTCTAGCAGGGGTGCTTAAATTTGTGGGTGTGGCCAGAGGCAGCCAGGAGGGTGTGTCTGCTCACAGAGGCTACTTAGGTGGAAATAGGTTCACCGGATGTTGACGTTTCATCATATAGGCCTATATCCCGCTGTCTTTTTCTATCTTTGCCTTACTCCATCCTTCCCTCCAGATAGGCAAAGTTTGTCCTAGGACCCTTTAAATTTAAAAGATCTAGACTAGAAGCTCTAGATACATATGTGATTGTGTCTTAGTAAACACTGTAACAAGTTCAACTACTTTGTTAGTTTGAAGTAGTTAGTTAGTTTGAAGTACGGCTGTGGTCAGGCTAGTCGCCTATCAGCCGTTCGTTGCTTTCATTGCTTGTTCCTTCCTGCTTAGTGTTAACAGCTGATTTTGCAATAGATATATATATATAATAGCTAGGCTGCAACATTCAGACATTATTAGGCTATAGATCTAGATCTATATCAAATATATATATATGAAATATTGATCAACCAACCCCTTCATGACCTAAATCTAGATCTAGATTTTTAGACGTACGCCGTTCTTCTTTATTTCTAACACACCGTGGAGGAGCCAAGATGCTGCTGTGACGTACGGTGGTCATTTATAGCCTTGCAAAGCGTTACTATTCTATCAACAAATCTCGAGAACGGAAACCATTCGGAGAAATAGAGTTCAAGTTCATTTTCCGGAGCGTTCGCAGAAATAGAGCCGGCCATCTACATTAGGCCTACAATAGAGACTTAATTGATATTATTCCTAATCTATAATAGATTATATATCTACAGTAGTCAGTAGTAGATCTACTGTGGTGGACTTTGGTCACAAGTAGGCTTAGATAACATAAAAATGTCTGAGTCTGAGTACCTTTCTCAAAGACTCCTTCAACTGTAAATGTTCGGGCCCATAGACAATGTCGTCACTTCCACTAGAACCTGAAGCGCTGGAGGCTACGGCCTGTGCCTTCTGAAATGTTGTTTTTGAGGAAGAGAAGCTTCTCTTAGCAAGACCAGCTTGCCGGAAAGATGCTGCCAAGACTCGCTGAGCCATCTTGAACATTAAGATCCAGCCTATGTTTACAATGGTGTTGGTGGGCAGGGCAGTGGTGATAGAACATAGAACTGAGTAGTCGATACTTTTCAATTTTCCTAATCAATACCAAAATATTACGATACCAAAGATACTTCTACATTATACAGAGCCTGTCAGTGCCTGTGGGTGGACCAAAATTTGGATGGGGCTTAGGTTGCTTCAAGGAGATTAAAAGTAGTTCTAAACTCCTTGGGTTGCTTCCAGTTCTTTACCATCAAATAGCAAACAATAAGAAGTAAGCAGTGATAATTTTTCTATACTCACGGTGAGCCACAGCAGTTTGAGAACCATTCAAACGAGAAGAGTTGCCTTTGTTTTCAATCTCTTTGACTCTTTGTTCTTAGTTAAATTTTTGTTGATGGTTTGGACGAAGCCGATTCACCTCCAAATTTACTCTAATTAGTTTTCGAGTGATGAAAAAGTTGCCTTACACCTCTATTCTCACCTGGGGTGAGAATAGTGCAGGCGAGTCTTTTGGCTATTCTCACCCGGTGCGCGTTCACCGTTATAGCCTAGATCTAGGCCAACAAATTTTGCGTTCACCCTAAACCACAGAATTCTACACTGTGATAACAGAAAAATTGTAGAATTCTGTGCTGTGAACAAACGTTCCATTACAACTGTACTTGTAGCCTACTAAAAGCGTACAATTTTGTCTGTGGGCAGTGGAGAGAGAGAGTGAGAGAGAGAAAGGGAGAGAACAAAACAAAATGAATGGCGACCCGCGTAGTTCGGCTCGATTCGAAAAGTTAAATAGCCGTAGCATCTTTGTAGACAACCAAATTAATTTACTTTTGTGTTTTAACATCATTTTTTAAACTTTGTTTTGGTCAATTTGATCGTCCACACCGATAGACAGTATTCAGAAAGAGACAGAGAGAGAGAGAGAGAGAGAGAGAGAAGAGGGGAGGAGTAGATCTTGCGAGAACTTCCGGGCGGGTGAGAATAGCCACTTTCTGATTTATAACTGTTAAATCTCAGCAGCACAAACATACACACAGCACTTCAAACATTATACTTCTATGAGCTGGATTAGGCCTTATGTAGTCGAGAAAGTTGAACGCACCCAACAAAGAACCAAAGAGCGCATAGGTATCTGTGTCAGTGGGCGAAAGTGTGTCGTAAACTTTCATTCCATTGTCAGGGCTAGGAGAGCGTGAGCCCTCGGTACAGTGTTATTTTTTCCCCAGACTTCTACCTTTTTACAAGAGGAGTTTCATTAGGGACGGGCGATGGGAAAAGGGCTCATCTTTGCTGAGCCCTAAAGACATTTGATTGGCTACTGGGTTACTATAGATGTAAGCGAAGACAACAGTGATTGGATAAGCGAGCAAGTCACCAAGTTGATCACTCTGTGTTCATTGCGTGCGGTCATAACGGTTTCAATTGCTTATTTCATTATGGAGAAACTTTTATTTACTTTGGGATAAGAGTTGGGGTGGTGGTTGGGGAGGGGGTATGGGCTCAAGCCCGAGAGCCCTTCACTACCCACCGCCACTGGAGCCTGTCGGTAGTTTTGCTGTAGTCCAGAAGAACTTTGAAGAAGAATAAATTTCCAACTTTAAAATTTGTACATCAGGAATTTGTTACAGCAGTAAACACATTAGTTTTTCGATTTTTAATGTTAACCTTTTCAAGAAATGGGTCAGTGGAGGCAGTCGCAGTTTTTACAAGGACTGACAAGAGTTTTTAAAATTAAAATCGATACCTTGAAACATCGAAAGTACTCGTACTACCTACAAAGAGAGATCACTGTGACAATTCCAAATCGTTTTTACATAAACCAAAAAAAATGATGGATCTTTTACAGAATAATATTAAATAAAAGGACTCTTAATGTTGATTAAAAATACAGACTTAATAAAAAAACCCCAACATACATACACATTGGGTCATGTTTCGTTATCCCACTTCAAATTGGCATTCTTGTTTACGTAATTATTATACAATTATTCATATATCGTGTTGTGGCTTCTAAGAGAGGTAACTTGGAAAACTCCAACTTACTCAGTAACGGTGTCATTGTTTATCTATCCCTACATCACCACAAAGCCAATAAAAGACCATGGTAAGATGCCCGATTTACACACACACACACACACACACACACACACACACACACACACACACACACACACACACACACGCCCCCCCCCCCCCCCCCCCAAAAAAAAAAAAAAAAATTTTATTTTTAATAAAAAAAAATATTTAATGGTTAAAATCTCATTAGGGTTGGCGGAAAAGAGAAGAAAACACGGCGGAGGCTTTTTTTAAAGATACCCCCCGAAAAGTTTTAATTTCTTGGGGTGGTTGGGGGGGGGGGGGGGGTGGGTTTCCCTTGTTTTTGAAAATTTTTTTTTTTAATTTTTTTTTTTTTTTTTTCAAACTGTGTGTGTGTGTGTGTGTGTGTGTGTGTGTGTGTGTGTGTGTGTGTGTGTTGGTGCGTTGGCGCCCCCGGTTGGTTTTTGGCTGTTTTTTTTTTTTTTGTGTTTTTGTGCGGGGG